TTTCCTGCCTGAGCAGGAGGTTGGACTAGATGACCTCCAAGGTCCCTTCCAACTTTATCATTATTATTATTATTAATTCAGTCAGCAAACCATAGTTTAGCAAACTATGCTTAATAGTAATAATAATAATAATAATAATAATAATAATAATAATAATAATAATAATAATAATAATAATAATAATAATAATAATAATAATTAAAAAGTTGGAAGGGATCTTGGAGGTCATCTAGTCCAACCCTCTGCTCAGGCAGGAAACCCTATACCATTTCAGACAAATGGCTGTCCAGTCTCTTCTGAAAAACGTCCAGTGTTGGAGCATTCACTGCTTCTGGAGGCAGGTTGTTCCACTGGTTAATTGTTCTAACTGTCAGGAAATTTCTCCTTAGTTCTAGGTTGCTTCTCTCCTTGATTAGTTTCCACCCGTTGCTTCTTGTCCTGCCTTCAGGCACTTTGGAGAATAGCTTGACTCCCTCTTCTTTGTGGCAGCCCCTGAGATTTTGGAACACTGCTATCATGTCCCCCCTCGTCCTTCTCTTCGTTAAGCTAGACATACCCAATTACAGCAACCGTTCCTTATATGTTTTAGCCTCCATCCCCTAATCATCTTTGTTGCTCTTCTCTGCACTCTTTCTAGAGTATCAACAAACCATAGCACACAACAAACTATGGCTCTTAAGGGACTATGGTGGAGAGCAGCACCTGTGTTCAGCACTTGGGGTAATTTAAGGTTGCATCCAGGGCTCTCTTCTAAGAGGTATAAAGTGAAGAGACGAACAGTACTGCAATTGCCTTGCTGTTTTTTGAACTACCCATCCATAGATATTCCCATGGAAATGAAACATGTAGCTTTCTTTATAGACAGAAGCCAAAAAACAGAGAAATTCATTGTTATGAAACAAAGCTAAAAAAACCTTAACCATGATATACACGGTTAAAACCTTCACATCACTCAATCTTCAACAGAATAAACAAACTTCAAGGTGAAGGCCCTAAGTAACACTATTGGTTATACAGCAACAGATTCTACTCGAGGCCACTAATTCCCATCATCCCCTGCTTCCAGCAGGTCCCCACTCAGATATATCCCTTTAGGCTCTGTCTCTTGATCCACCATATCCTTAGTTTTTAAAGTTCTCCCAGACATCATAAAAATCAACTCCAGCTCTGATGAGAATAAAATATATTTATTTGCTTGTTTAACTTAATCGTTGGTTATCAAGCAGACTTTCCAGTCATATATTTCTACTGCACAAGTCCTGTAAGGCAATTGTGGCTAGAAAAATCATAGGATAGCATCTTAATCTTCTTTCATACTTAAGAGTCTATCTGCTTACTCAGATAGTTAGTAACTGGTTAGATTGCATCAAAAACCATGGACCTCTAACCTTATTGCACTTAGAGGTGATTGAGGTAGGAAGAAAAATATGGAACTGGTCTGTAGTGATGGGGAGCGGATCAACAATCCATCTTCGAAAGCAAAGGAATGATAGATCCAGATGAACTGGATCTTGCTGCCTTCCGGAGAATCTTTGGAGCACGCTAAATTAACACCATGCAAGCAGATGGATAAACACTAGGACAGAAGCAAGGAATTGAACTGGAGAGGTTGGGATGTGTGACATGATGGGAACACTGAAGATCTCAAAAGTTATTTTGAGAACGGTTTGGGACTTTGGCTGAAAAAAAAAAGCCCTTGCTGAGTTGAGAACGAGGCACCCATGCACTCAGCCAAAATCTAAAACTATTTCCACATGGGAAATAGAGGGTCCACCCATTCCCGTGAAGCTTAGGCCTGCTGCCAAAGGTCATCTGAGGGCAAAAAGGTAGATCTTTTACAAATGTCTAACATCACAACCTCAAGCCAGTCAACGTAGGGCCATAGCTTGATATTGCAAATGTCCCGAGTCTTGACACATCTGAAATCCAGGAGCTTTCCAGTCCCCAATTGACATTCCTCTAGAGCAGGGGTAGTCAACCTTGGCTCTTCTGGGAGTTGAAGTCCACGAGTCATAAAAGAGCCAAAGTTGACTACCCCTGGCTCTAGAGCATCTCTCCATTCAGGTTGTCCTGTCCTTCTGGGCCTACTTCTCCACTTGCTTCTCTGCTGCGATCTCTTGCAGCCACCTGATTGTGCGATTCCGGCTCTCTTCCCAGGTGAAACGGGGTGTGTATCCGAAGTGCCCCTGGGCCTTGTCAGTCTTTACGGTGAAGGTGGTGCTGACGATCACCAGGGTGTAGGTGTTGAGGATGGGGGCGTACACGAAGAAGGGCTTCAGGAGTCGCTGCAGGATCACATTGACCAGAGCTATCAGCTGGAGGAGAAAGAACGGCACCAGGGGACGGGAACCCAAGAGGCGGAAGCCGCACGGCTTCAAGAACTCCATGTTAAAGTCCTCGTAGCTCTTGTAAGGAGAGTCGTCATAGCAATAATAAACTTGGGCCCCGATGGTTGAGGGGTCCTCTTGGATCTTCCGAGCCACCAGCAGATGCATCCAAGCCACGTTGCCTACAGAAGGGGCAAGTTGGGAGACCAAAAAGATAAAAATCAATGGAGGGACCAACACCACTTTTGTGAAAAGACAGGGATAACATGGAGACACAACAACACAGCATTGTTTACTCAAGCCAACACAGTAGGAATAAGATCTCAAATGTGTTTTTAAAAATAGTGCTTCGTACATTCTATAAATTAAAAATCAAACACAAGATCCAGTCACACAAGACACTGAAATAGACACATCAAATTGTGTTTGTGTGTGTGTGTGTGTGTGTACACAAGCATGTTTATTTTTGAGAAAATTAGAACAATTAATCAGTGAAACGAGTTGCTTCCAGAAGTTGTGGGTGCTCCAGGAAGAGATTGGACAACCATTTGTCTGAAATTATATAGTGTCTCCTGTTTTAGCAAGGGGTTGGACTAGAAGACCTCCAAGGTCCCTTCCACCTGCTATTTTGTTATTTCCAAACTCCTAGTGGGAATGGGGATTTTTGGGAAGGAGTTAGGCATTGCTCTCACTTATACTGCAATAGACATAGCAAATAAATCCAGCAGCTAAACTGAAGTGGTTTTCTTAAAAAAAGAAATATCTCTTACGACAGGGTTTTCACGTTTGCCTGTCCGAATCCCCGAGGGGGAGTCGTAAGTAACTTGTGGGGGGCTACACACTAAGTTGGAATCTGATCAGGCTTACCCAGACAAAATGCAAACAATGTCAAGACTCACTGCAAACTTTGCTCCTTTTTTTGTGTGTGTGTGCAAAAGAAGGGAGGCCGCTGGCTTGGAAAGTCTGAGAAATGCAGTGAGAAATACTAAGGGGTGTATTTGTTTTTCCTCTAACCCAACAAAAACATTCTTTTTATTCATGGGGAGAGGAAAATTTGCACACATCCATTCTTTCTCTAAGGGCACAGCGTACGCCAAACTTTGAGAACCGGCCCTGAACAACAATGTCAAATTAATAACAAAATGAAATTCAATGGTGAAAAAAGCAAGGTTCTACATTTAGGCAAGAAAAACCAAATGCACAAGTACAGCACAGGTGGCACCTTGCTCAATAGTAGTAACTGTGAGAGGGACCTCGGAGTCCTAGTGGACAATCACTTAAATATGAGCCAGCAGTGTGCTGCAGCTGCCAAAAAAGCCAACACAGTGCTAGGCTGCATTAACAGAGGGATAGAATCAAGATCACGTGAAGTGTTAATACCACTTTACAATGCCTTGGTAAGGCCACCCTTGGAATACTGCATCCAGTTTTATTTATTTATTTATTTATTTATTTAACAGGATTTATATGCCGCCCTTCTCCCCATGGGACTCAGGGCGGCTCACAGCGTATTAAAACATCATACAAAAAATTTCCCCTACTAAAAACCAATTAAAACCCAAATATTGGTAGCTGTGGCTCTTTAAAATCGTTAAAAATTGTCCCTATTTAAAACTCACCCTAGGT